TTGCATGAGGTTGTCACTGAGCTGAGCTGAGTCTTTAAACAACTTCATTTGAAAGCAGTGCCATAATTCCTGACTGTTTCTGTAGTTAGATGCTCTACAGAATGTGCGTTTTAGTTAGCTGCAAACATGAGCACAGATGTTCAGTCGTCTGCTGATTTATCTCCTACTCCCCTACAGAAACGATAGCCCCTACATGGGCAGCGCTCCTTAGGAAGGGAGGCTGATTCAGTCTCCTGTCTCATTTCCAGCTAACTAAACAAGTAAGGACAATTAGCTTATGCTTTAAACTGAGAGAGGGCACCGTTATCTCACCATTGAAATGATGTGTTACAAGAGGAAGATGACCCATGATATCAGTGTGTTTTGTAAACAAGCAAGTCAGCTCTTCCGCTTCATGATCTACTTTTACTCTGACATTTCAGTTGCTTCTCAAGGAAAAATTTGTGATTAGTTGCAACTACATTGCACAGATCATAATGGGAAAGATCACAGTGAATATTACACACAACAAATAAAAATATTCATCCTTATTTAACAGTGATCTCTCTAGCGACATAAACCTTGATAAGACTCAAGGCAAACTTCAAATAAAGAGGATGAAATCTTGATATTGCCAAAGAAAGTGATTAATTCCAACAGATCTAAAGGGACCCCTACTTACAACTACTAGCCTATAGTTAATGCCCCTAGTTCTCCCCCACTACCGCCACACCCTTTAATTGATGCCACCGCAATTTGGGCTTCGTAATCTTCCCTAGGAATTGGGACACCCCTTGCTGAATCATTGACGTTCAGGTATGTAGGCCACCATAAGAAAGGGGACAGCGTTTTAAGATAAAAAAAAGAAGATAGAGAAAATAAGGCTAACAAAGTATAAATGGGAGAACACCCTAAGAGGTTTTATGGGTGGCTTTTATAAAAGACGTTTTAATTTAGAACTAGAAGGACTGTTTCATTGTTCTACCTCCAGCACAGACACCAGCCAACCCGGGTTGGCAGCCCAGCATGCTTTTCAAATCTATTGCTATACTCCATCTTCCTTAGTTAGCCTCTAGAGCCTGGCCACGGCCGGCTGACTCCCCTGATTTAATGAGCCATTCACAGTTTCACTGTACAGTCCAGATGTACTTACACTTGAATAGCTTATTCTGTCTCCCTCGTGGGCTTCTCTGATTTACCACTGTCCTCCTCCAGGTCAGCTGGAGCCTGCCTTCAGCGCTCTCCAATGTACCTCTATGCCCCTTCGCTCTTCTCTCGAGCCACTACCCAAGCAGGTGACTCTCCCCCACTCTGGTGCTCCATCTGCCTGGCAAGCCTCTTGGATCTACCGCTGTCCTCCTCTCTTTCGCACTGTGGTTCCTTAGCTCCAGTTGGGGCATGCATAGCTGCCTCAGTTCTGCTGCTCTTTACTGATGGTGCTCTTGCACAGATTTCCCGGTGCTCCTGTCTGAGCTCTAGTATGCTGTCCCATCTTACCTTTGTTGTCCGGGAAAATCTGGTGAACACAGGGATGACAATGCTAATGTTTGGCTTTCAAAAGTAAAAACAGAAACACACGTCGCTCCATAGCATCCCTATCTTCCATGTTTTCTGGGAAACTGTCTCTGGCCATTCCCAGGGAAATTAGCATGTTAGGTCCCTTGTTTTAATGGCTAGATTCTTACTCCTCATCCCTCTTGATGTCCATTGCCCCTACATGAAAAGGGGAATTGGGACACCACTACCCTTACTGGAATTAAGGTATAGGACTGAAAAATAAGGGCTAGGGGTGTAATGGGATTGGTTCCAAGTGTCAAATAGGTTTAGTTAACAAAAGTTAAAAACATTCAGACCTTTATTAAATATTGAACCTCCAGAGGGCAGACTTGATAAATTAAAACCAGCTTTTATCCTCAATTTTTCTTCATCTGCTTGCATGAAGGAAGCCCTTTAGATTACTGGTGAAGGATGGAAGGTATAGGTACTAAAGAAAAGTTGTTAGCCATTTTGGCTCTCCTTCTTTTCAAAGTGTCTAATATAATAAAAACTGAAGCGTAATGTTGATGATTTACAGCTAAAGTATTTAAAAATCATCTGTTACAGCCTGAGGATTGAAGATGCTGTCATTACAGTTTAGCAAAAATAGAAGCTTTACAGGTCATCAGTGTAAAAAACAACCTTTTATTTCTCAATATGCTCAATATCCCTTATCCAGGTTTTGTAGGACATAGTAGGAGTATAAATCATAAAACCTCACTATGTTTGCAGTCTGCTTCTGGCCACACAAACTAGAGAGAGCCAGCCTTGCGGTTTCTGTTTCTTGGCAGAAGTGTGTGCGAGTGAGTGTCGCATCATGACCTTGAGTTCATTTCACTATCACAACCCCAGCAGGGCTGGGAAAGGACTCCTTTGAAGCACCCAACTCTCAGAAAGAGCAAACAGACATTAGTGGATAACCAATTGCCTTCTAAAGTTCAGCCTCAGGATTCTCTGTCCACATTTTTCTTCTCTTCACATTCATCCCAACACATTTCCCCATGCAGGAAAACCTTTGAGAATTTTTAGGGCTGAATATTTCCTGGTGAAGTCAGCCGAAGCAATCAGTCTCCAGCAACAACAGGGAGCAGTAGGTGCTGCAGCAGGGCATCCTTTGCGTTGGCCTTTATAGCCTGTGATGTACGTGGATTACAGAAAATGACCTTTTAACACACCCTTAAGATATTTCGTGTAAAATCATGACCAAATCTCGATCTTATTAGATTCCCCTTCAGAGGAGATGTTAGCCATGATGCTTTTTATGAGCAGACTGTTCATTTCTCACATGGAGAAAGAACACAATCAATTCAAAATGTGAAACCAGTACCAGTTCGTCACTTCTTCTCTGTGCTCAATCCTCCATATTTGAATGAAATATGCTTGTTTTATAGGTGGCAATGTTTTCTTGAAGTTAAATTGCTTCTTTAGAACGCAGAATAACAG